CGTGGAAAACATCGGGACGCGTCGCAAGGACGAGGGGGGAGGGAGGATGGAGGAGGGGGGGGGGAAGGAGGGAGGAGGGAGGAGGGAGGAGGGACGAGGACAAAGAGAGGGGGAAAAAGGGAGGAGGGAGGAGGAGGAGGAGGAGGAGGAGGAGGAGGAGGAGGAGGAGGAGGAGGAGGAGGAGGAGGATGGGGAGGAGGGCAGAACAAGACGAGCGCAGGAAACAGAACACTCTGGCACGGATAACTCGGGTACCTTTGAGGAAACGGCGGGTCCAAACGATGCATATCGGGCACCGCGGTCGACACAGGACGCCGTGGAACGAGAGCGCTCCAATACTAGAGAAAGAAAAACTGCATAAGCACACACCTTCGCAGGTCCGCGCGGATCGGCGCTGTACACCGCTCCCTGGCGCTGGGAGCGCGCCAGGGGCGGGGTCGGAGGAGCCGCCAGGTGCGTCCAGCGCAGATCCAAGAAGAAATCTGCGCGGAACTCCAGAAGTGTATGTTCATGCCGCTCGTTCTTCTTCGAGTGGAACGAGAAGTGCTCCAGAGCGTTGTTGTTGAGCGATCGGATCATATCCTAGGTATTGTGGAGCGCCAGTTATGCTCCGGAACGTTGTTGTGGAGCGCTGGTTGTGGAGACGGGGGGGGCTCGCCCGCACAGCCGTCCGCACAAACAGCGGCGCGACTGCCTGGGGAGCCTTGCAGCCAGGCTGCTTAAAATGTCACCGTGTGCATAAATTTGCACCTCTCCCACCTCCGCAGTCCCTCCTCCTCCTCCTCCTCCTCCTCCTCCTCCTCCTCCTCCTCCTCCTCCTCCTCCCCCCTCTACTATTCTCCTCCAACCTCCTCCTCCATCCTCCTCCCTCATCCTCTCTCCGCGCTCCTCTTCTCCCTCTACTCCCTCCTCCTCCCACCTCCTCCCACCTCCTCCTTCCTCCTCTTCCTCCCACCTCCTCCCACCTCCTCCTCCTTCCTCCTCCTCCTCCTCCCACCTCCTCCCACCTCCTCCTTCCTCATGTTCCTCTTCTCTCTCCTTCTCATCCTCCCTTCTCAGCCTCCCGCCTCATCCCGCCTGTCCAGGGTTCCATGAGACCTCCCTCCTCCTCCATCCCTCCTTGCTCCTGCTCTTTCTCGTGACTCCTCCAGCCTCCGGCCTCCTCCCTCCTCCCTCCTCCTTCCTCTCTCGAGGACGCGCTGACCTGCACCGGCCCGGCCAGCCGCTTCGGAGCCCCCAAGCCCCCGGGCCAGCGGAGAGAGGGAGAGGGGGAGGGGGGTGGCGGATCCACGTGGCTCCCAGGGGCCCAGGGCAGCCAGAGGGGGTCACGAAGGAGTGGCCGGGCCCCGCTGGCGGCGAGCCCCCGTCACGTGCGCCCCGAATCTCCAGAGGCCTCCCAGATGGGGTCGGAGTAGATGGGGTCGGAGGATCGCGCCGCATCGCCGATACATCAGCGATGCATCGCCGACGCATCGGCGATGCATCGGCCATGCACTGGCGACATCGGCGATGCGTCGGCGACGTCAGCGTGGAGAAAATTGGGCCCCACATCGAGCCGCATCGCCGATGCATCGCCAATGCGTCGGCGATGCGGCGCGATCCTCCGACCCCATCTTCTCGGACCCCATCTGGGAGGCCTAGAATCTCCCTCCTTCCTAACTCCCCCCCGCCTTTTGAGGCAACTCCCGGATGCCTCCCATACCATCTTGATGGCTCTTGCGAAACCGACGCCAAATCGACGCTGATCAATACTCATCGGCGCGGATCGACGCCAAATCGGCGCTACCTGGCCGATCACCAGACGCCAATCGACGCGAGTGCACTCCGGAGACGGAGTTACGGGGGCACACCAGGCTGCCATGATTCGCTTACCGACCCCCCCCCCCGGGGGCGCCGGTGCGCGGGGTGCCCCCAGGTGTGGAGGGGTGAGGCAGGCCCCACCCCACACACACATCCGGCCCCACCACCACGCTCCTGAGGGGCAACGATGGGGAGGACTCGCGCAGGGGGGGGGGAGGGGGGACATCGGCCTGGAAGCGGCGATCCATCGCCGCGATCGGCGAAAGGCCCCCGATAGCAAATCTGCACCTTCGTGGGCAGGCAGGGCTGTCAGACCTCCGTCGGCGATCCGTGGGCGATCCGAAGGTGGATGCCTCCCCCCCTATGCCCATCCCCCCCCCTTGTCGTTGCCCCTGAGCTCCCTCATATATGACCCCCCCTGGCCCCGCACCACGCCACCGACCCCCCCTCCCCTCCCCTCTGGCCTTCTGCAGGGCGTGTCCCCCTACAGGCGGATTTTGGACGAAAGCTAAACACACTCGAAAAATTTGACGAATTGACAAAAATAGTCGAAAAATCGTCCCCAGACTATTGCTTGACTATTTTCGAACTCCCCTCCTGTAGAGGGACAGGCCCGACTTCACTCTGGCCCCTCCCTCCCCGCCGCGCGGCGGCGTGCCGCTGCGCGGCGGCCCCTACAGCATGACCGGGCACCGCACGCTGCACGGACCGCGGGCGGAGGGCCGCTACGTGAGCAGGGACCGACCGTCCCGGCAGTCCTATGGGCCTACCACGACACGGTCTGAGAACCCAACTGACTACCTCCCAAACCACCCCAACCCAACCCGAAGACCCGAATTTCGGGTTGGGGGGGGGTACGGGTTCCATATGTGTTTTCTCGAGGTTCCCCGACCCCCCCCCCCAACTGGAAATGGAGGGCAAATTGGGGCCTTCGGGTTGGGTTGGGGTGGTTTGGTGGGCGGTGACCAACAATGCTGTAATCACAAAAACAATGGTCTTAGAACAGAGGCCCGATGTGATAAGACAAGACAGTCCCGGCCAGAAATGTTCTAAGAACATCTCGTGCGAACCACAAAAGGTTCTTAGAACATTGTTTGGTAGGCCTATAGGCGCGCCAAGACGCTTCACCACTGCTTGAGCTATGTACAAAAATTTCTCGGCCAGCCTGGGCTGAGCTTCTGCACGGCGCCCCGCGAGCACGCGAGCACTGGGAGGACGGACAAGGACGAGGAGGAGTGCATACCCAGACATGCTCGCGCCGACGAAAAATCAGGACGGGAGGCTGTTGGCCGTTTCGGGCCTGTGGGGGTCCATACTGGGCCCGGGGACCGTTCAAAAAAAGAACTCAGGATGGAAAAGCGGTCCTTGGGAAAGGGTCGGGACTTCCGGGGACTCCGCAAAGAAAAAAACAAAGCATCGCACGTCTGGGAATATAGAGAGCCCCAAAACTACACCTGCGCACCGCGGGTTCGTGTCGTGTCAACCCCGGCATTGGTTCCTGACACCGCGGGGATCCTTCAGACTTGAACGATCGACCGTTTCCGAAACGTCAGATCGTTCAACATCGATCTTTGTCGAACCATCTGATCGTTCAACAACAGATCGTTGAGCGCCACCGGCGATCCAAATTCGGTCGACCGATTCTAGGCCGCCGGCGGCGCTCAACGTTGAACGCTGGCTGCGGGTTCGCCTCTGGCTGACACGCCTTGACGGCGAGCGAGGGGGGAAGTGAGAAGGGGGCGGCCTTCTTCAGAAGGCTCGGAAGCCCTCTGGCCTTCTGAAGAGTGTTCCGCGCGCTCCCCAAGGAGACAGAAAGCCCCTCCGAGGGCCGAACGGCTTCTGAGAAGCCCCGCCGCCTTCCGAGAAGGCCTCCTCCCTCTCGCTCTGCGAGCCCCTCCGCACGTGGACATCTCACGCCTCGGGAGCCCACGCGGCCTTCTCGCGGCGGCGCCGGGGGCCGCGCCGCAGGCCCCGCCAGGGCGCGTCGGAGGTGGCAGGGTCCAGCGCCGAAACCCGAGAAGTCCGCGCGCGCCTCCGAAAGCTTGCCCTCCCCGGGCGTCGGCCCTCCGACGCCGCGATTCTGGTCGCAGCGTGGAACCCCGGAAGCCTCAAGTCGGGCGCGTCCCCCTGCAGGGGGATTCTGGGCGAAAGACAAAACAAAACTCAAACAAGGCCCCCAAAAAATACTCAAAGATAGTCAAAAAATCGCCCCCCGACTATTTTTTGTCTATTTTTGAGCATTCCCCCTGTAGAGGGACACGCCCGACTTAACGGAAGCCTCGACCCGTTCTCCTGGAGCCGGCCTGTCGTCCCCAGACTCCTCGACGGTCCTGCCCTGGCGAAGGCCCCCGAAAGCCGAAGGCAGCCGAAACCCTGAGATCCGACGATGCGAAACAGTTGCAGCAGCGCGAAACATCGCGACCGGGGCCTCGAACCCTACTTTTCTGCGGCACCTGTCGAACCGCGTCGATCTGTGATGGTCCTGGGGCCCGACAGGAGGAGGAGGAGGAGGAGGAGGAGGAGGAGGAGGAGGAGGAGGAGGAGGAAGCCGGGCGAAAACGCCCGCTGTGAAAAAACTGCAGCGCCTGGCCTTGTTCGCGAGGCGCGGGGTGAGCGCCTGCAGGTCCATCCGCCACTGCCGTGCGCTCTGCTCCCGCGCGCGCTCGCGCTCCGCCGGCTGCCTCGGGTCCTGCGTGACCGGCCGTGCGAAGCACTGCGCCGCCGCGCCGCGGTCTCCGCTCCGCTTGGCAGCCGCAGCGCACGCCTCCCAGTACTGCGCCCGGTGCTCCTGGGGAACCCAAGAGGCACCGATACTGCTACTCCCCAGGCCTCTCCAAGGGTGCGTTCTGACCAGAATTTCGGGGCGAATCCAGCGGTGTCGACGAGGGCGTTCGGGGAGGCCCACAAAGGCGAAAACGGGGCGAGGGTAGCAGTATGGATAGCCTTGACTACCTACCACCCCAACCCAACCTAACCCAAGGGTCCGAATTTCGGGTTGGGGGGCGGTACGGGTTCCACATGTGTTTTTGTCAACCTTCCCCGACGCCCCCCCCTACTGGGAATGGAGGGCACATGGGGGGCTTTTGGGCTGGGTTGGGGTGGTTTGGTGGGCGGTGATCCTTCCAAGCGCGCAGCCACGGCGGGAGCCTGGTCGCCGGCGGGAGGGCCTGGAAGCCGTGAGCCCGAGGCGGCGTCGCGCGCTACGTCCAGAGCGGCGAGGGGCACCTCTGGCTCCGCGGCCCGGACTTGGCCTCCCGCGCCATGGCCGCCAGGGCTCTCGGCAGGTCCGCGGGGGCCACCTGAGCGACGGAAGGAAACGGGTCTCAGAAGAGGGGATATGTCGGCCCCTATCCCAGGCTTCGTGGAAAAAGTTTGGGGCCCTACCCTGGGATACACCATGGGGGGGAGATCCTCCATCCCTGATTGGGGCGAGTCCGAACAATCCCTTTGGGGTGTAGGGTTTCCCCCTCGGGGATTGGGGTTGAAAAATCGCCTGCGATCTCACGCACCTAGACCCCCTCGAGTCATGAAAAAATCACGAAGGGGAATGTCTAACAATTTGGGGCCTCGCTGGGCCCTGGGACCGTCATCAAATTGTTCAGGATGAAACACTGGCCTCTGGGATTGGGTCGAGACCTCCTGGGACCCACGTCGTGACTTTACCAGAACGTCGGGGGTCTGGGCATGATGACACAGCGACCTTCCGCGGTGGATTACGCGGGCCGCCAGCGCGGCACGCCACATTGTAAGCGAGGGCGCTGCGGGCAGCTTGCGCGCGAATGTCGGTGCGGCCGACCCCGTTTCTCTGCGTCGCTCACCTCCGCGTAGCCCCCCGGGTGCGTAGCGAACGTGGCGGTCGAGTCGGTGAGGGCGGCTAAGACCGCGCCGTACCCCTGCACGCTCGCCTGCTGCACGCTGGCCTCGACGGACACCTCGTGAGGAGAAGCTGGCGATGCCGCTGCTCGTCCTGGGAGGGCCCTCGTCGCCATGGCCGGATCCTCCTCGAAATTCTTGTGAGAACGCAGCCCAGGAGACCAAGAACTCCGACGCGGTGATTTTGTGACATCCTTCCGTCCTGACTCATTGTTTGACGGTCCCGGCGCCTGGCGAGGGCCCCCAGAGGCAAAGATCGTCAAAAAACCTTCGGCCGTGACTTGTTCGCAACGCGAGGAGATGGGGGGAGGTCTGGGGGGCAGCGGTATCGGTACATGTTTGCCACAAAATGACAAACGAACAAAACACACACACACACACACACCCGTACCTAAAGCGGGTAGGGGGATATGGGCGCGTGTTGTCGGATGGGGGTCCCCGCTCGAACGAGCGTCCCCTGGGGGCCGTCAACCCGCACCCAGCCCCTCAGCCAGTCTACTTCCCTCCGACAATCCCACGGGTACGGATGTGTGTGTGTTGTTCGTTCGTCACCCAACATCCGCTGGAGGGGTTGGGCACGTGCTGTCGGAACGAGTGGAAGGGGGGTTGGAGGAAGAAGAGGAGGAGGAGGAGAAGGAGGAGGAGGACGAGGAGGAAGAGGGCGAGGAGGACGAGGAGGAAGAGGGCGAGGAGGAGGAGGAGGAGGAGGAGAAGGGAGGGAAAGGGGATGCACAAGCTCCGTCGGAAGGTCAATCACCCCCCCCTTCATAAATACCCCATCCAGAGCACCCAGATCCCTGAAGTCATGATTTCGTCATGACGTGGATCCCTGGGACCAGTTGCTCATCCTGAAAATAGTTTTTTGACGGTCCCGGGGCCCGGCGAGGGCCTCCACCAAAAACCTCCAGTCGCCATTTCTTCATGACCCGACGGGGTCTGGGCAGCGGCATCAGCACATGCGCGCCCCCCCCAACACCAGCGACGGCGCCGCCCGGCGCAGCGCGCGGACGCGGCCGCCTCGGGCGCGCAGATCCCCGGCGACGCGGGCCGCGTACCTGCGGGGCACGCGCATGCGACGACGACGACGACGACGACGACGACGACGACGACGACGACGACGACGACGACGACGACGACGACGACGGCCGGGCCGCGCACCTGCGGGGCACGCGCACGGCGAGCTCCGCCAGCGGGCTCAGCACCCGCACGGCGGGCGCGGCGAGCCACGCGGCGCCCGCGGCGCCCGGCGGGCCGCCAGCGGCAGACCTCGGCAGCCCCAGCGCGCGCCGCACGCAGCGGGCGCCCGCGGCCAGCAGCGCGGCCTCGCGCACGGCGGCACCGTAGGCGCCGGCGGCCTCGAGGTCCAGCCGCAGCAGGCGGACGTCCACGTCCACGACGGGCAGGGTGGCGAACGCGGCGCCCGCGTCGCGGGCGCGGCCCCCGCGGCCCACGCGCAGCGCGACGACGCCGCGCTCGCAGGTGCGGCGCACGCCGCGGGCGAAGGCGCGCAGCCCTCTCTGGCCGCCGATGCTGCGCAGCACGCACTTCTCCGCGGAGGTTCGCACGCCTGCGCCCCTGCTCGCAGGTGCCACGCGAGCGGTGATCGCGAAGGCGCTGGCCCCAGAGCCTGCCGCGACCCGCACCTCTGTGGTGCACCACGGCGTGGCGCGGTACTGTATGCGGCACGGCTGGAGGCCGAGGTGGACGCCCCACCTCGAGCGCAGCGTGCGGCAGAGACGCCGCAGCTGCTCCTCGCCGCAGGTGGTCAGCTGCATCTCGCCGTCGCCCGGCTCCCACTCGACCCGCAGGCTCTGGTCCTCCTCCACGTGGCGCAGGAGCGCGCCCAGCAGGGCCTCGCGCCGCGGCGCCGCCGTCCGCCCCCGCCCCAGCCGCACGGCCTTCGTGCAGTGCCGGCCCGCAAGCAGCTCGTAGGCCTGAGTGTGCAGCACCTGCAAGCGCACTGGCGCGGAGGGCTCGCACCACGTGCAGAGCGAGCCGCTGCCGGGCGGCGCCTCGGCAGAGGGCAGCGTCAGGCGCACCACGTCGCCTGGCAGAGCGACTGGCACGGTCTCGCCGGGCGCGCCCCCGCTGCGCTGCAGCGGCGGGGCGGTGATGGCGTGGCTCCCCGTGGTCGCGTTGTGCAGGCGCTGCCCTGCGTGCAGGGCCCCGCGGACGACCAGCATGTCGAGCGCCTTGCGGGAGCCCCCGTCCAGGTAGGTCGTCTGGAACGTTATGCCGGCGAACGGCGCGTCCGCGGCAGGCCGCACCAGCTCCCTCGCTCCCGTGCGAGGGTCCGACCCCTCCCAGGTGCCGGCCTCCGCGCCGCTGGCCACGTCGCCCACTGCTGGGAGCACGCGGCCGACGAGGTCCCTGACGAGGGAATGCCCGTTGCCGTGGCAGCCCTGGCCTGATGCGCGCTCACGGCCGCCTGGCTCCGCCTCCGCCACCGCGAACACGACCGGCACCACCTTCCGCTCACGGCACCTACGGGCGACCACGTCCAGCCAGTCGGTGGTGGCGCTGTCGCCAGCGTGCCCAGGCGCCGCCAGCGCGGCTTCGACAGCGCCCGCGCGCGCGCTCTGCAGGGCGAAGCCAGGCTGGGCGGCGGGCACGCTGAGCGCCAGCGGCTCCACGCCGAGGCGGCGCAGGTCAGCCATCGCGCGGGAGAAGGCCGTCGACGCGGCCTGCGGGGTCATCTCCGCCACATCCTCGCGCGAAGCCCACAGCACGACGCCCAGCGGCCGCCGCGCGTGCCGCACGCGCTGGGCCCAGTGCGCGGCGAGCCCCGCGCTGGGCGGGCGGGCGCGCGAGGCGGAGAAGGGCACGACGAGGACCGAGCCGGCGCACACGCGCAGCGCGATGTCCACGAAGGGCAGGAAGTCGACGTGCCCCGGCGCCTCCACCAACGCCAGCGCGGAGGGGCTGGGTCTACACCACACCCTGTTGGTCGCCTGCAGCTCCTGCTCGCCGAGCTGGCCTGCTGCTGGCGCCTCCGCCGCCCCGCCCGGGCCCAGCAGCACCCGCCGCACGGCCGCCTTCGCGGGCCCATCCGCCCCGAGCAGCGCCACCGTGTGGCGGCGTCCCGAGGCGGACGGCGGCGCCGACGCCCCGCCCTGGCGCCGCAGCTCGCCGCTGGCGGCGTCAGAGGCGCCGGCGCCGGCGGCGCCGGCGGCGGCGGCGCCCGCAGCCGCACTCCTGCAGGCCCCGCCGCCGGCGCGGGCCCGCTCGCCCTCGGGGCGGCAGCCCCGCCGCAGCGCAGCCCCGAGGCGCCCCAGGCCGGCGCCGGCGCGCCTCGCGGCGCCCGCGCCGCCCGCGCGCACGCGGCCGCCCTGCCGCCGCCGCCGCGCCCGCCCCGCACCAGCGGCCAGCGCGGCGGCCGCGCCGCCGAGCGACAGGCCGCGCAGCAACGGCGCGCTGCGCGCGCGGCGGCGGCGGCCAGCGCGGCGGCCGCGCCGCACGGGCGCGGCAGCGGCTGCTCGCGCCCGCGCGCGGCCGCCTCGGCGCGCGAGACGTCGGCTAGCAGCGGGCTGGCGCCGCGCGCGGGGAGGTGCATCGCGGAACCATACCCAGACCTCCAACGCATTGAAGAAATCAAGCTCCCTGAGATCCTGGCGTTGCGCTGTCTCACACCGGGCGATTATTGTTGCCCGGTTTCGGGGCCCAGCCCTCGCGGATCGATCCAGCTCGGAGATTGATGCAGAAGGATGGGGTCTGGGGCTCCGTTCGTGATTTGTTCCGCGGTCGCAGCGTCTTTGCAGCCCTGGATGGCGGGGTTCTTCGTCTCCGGCGTCTGGGGGCCCTCGCCAGGCCCCGGGACCGTCAAAATACAATCCAGAGCAAAACAAAAATCCCAGGGAGGTGGTCCAGAGCGTCTGGGGCCCCGTCTTGAGAAAAAAAAATCAAAGCATCGCAGGCCTGGGGAGCACACGCCGCGGGAGACCAGCTGCACCCCTCGCACTGACGAGGGCGGGCGATCAGGGGGGGTCAGGGGAGGGGATGGCTCAGGGTGGAAAGCATCGAGCCAGAATCGGCGATGCATCGCCGATCTATCGGCGACAGGCCCCCAGTTGCGAAAGCGCAGGTTCCTGGGCGGGGTAGGCTGTCAGGCCCCTGTCGGCGATGAGTCGGCGATTGGGGTCTACGCGTTCCCCCCTGAGCCAAACCTTGACGGCCTGAGAATTCGCACCAACACCAACACAGGGGGCTACCTCCACCGGGAGAAGCCAACTCCTCCTCCTCCTCCTCCTCCTCCTCCTCCTCCTCCTCCTCCTCCTCCTCCTCCTCCTCCTCCTCCTCACACAGGGGGCTACCTCCACCGGGAGAAGATGATCCTGGATTTTGGTGCTGATGGCAGTAATCTCTCGGCCACCTGAGAAGCCCGAATACAATCGCCGAGATCAGGATCGTTCTCCCTCGATGGAGGCAACCGCCGGTGCTGGTGTGCTATCCTCTACTGGGACGCGGGAGGTGTTAAGGGGATAGGGGGGCCATCAGTCGATGCCAAGGTGGGTTGTATCTGTCCGAATCTAGCTAACACGTGGGTTACAACTTCCCTAAGTGGCGAAGGCGGGCTATATAACTCCACTAAGTGGGCGGAGCCCACGTCGCCCACCCGCTGGCTTTCCGGTCGTCACTCGGGTTCCCGGCGGCCGTTCGGGACGATCTGGTCACCTCTGGAACGCCCTCGACGAGGCGAAGCTGATGGACGGCACCCCGAGGCCGGAACACTTCCAGGAAGGCCTCAAGATTCCCCCGGTGGTGGCCCCCGAGCCGACCGCGCCGCCCTCCTCCCGCGGAGCACCAGCGCACGGCCCGGGGGGGCTACGCGAGCATGCGCGCGGGCTGCGAGGACGAGGACCTGGCCATCGCGGGGCCCCCGCGCGCGGCCGGGGCCTCGAGCCGCAAGGGCTAGGGGCCCAGACCTCGGGTCAGGACGAGGAGGAGGAGGAGGAGGAGGAGGAGGAGGAGGACGAAGTCCTACCAACGCGCACTCAGACCGCTTTGGGGCTTTCAACGCTCTACGGGCAATCTGGGGTTTACTGTACACCTTGGGCCACTGCCCCAGAGAAGTGCGCCTCAAACATCCCTGACGGGTCAGAGTGGGGCGGCATGAGCATTCAGCACACAAACCAAGCAACTGCTGATCCCCAAACATCCTTCAGGACGCACAAAACCAAACCCCCAGGTCCGGGTGCAGTCTCATACAATGAGAGGGGTCGACCCAACCCCCAGCAGTGTGAATCGAAGCCCCCTCAGAAGTGCACGAAGAGAGCCATCTAACGCAATCAACTTACAACACTGTGACTTACGCCAAGCTCGAACGCGGGCAACGGACGCCGTTCCCGATACCGCCGGCACCGGCTTTCACTCTCGTCGAGAGCTTCAGACGTTTCAAAATCAGAGACAGCTTCAGGGTCAAGCGAGGAGGAGGAGGAGGAGAAGGAGGAGCGTTTTCACGGTTCGTGGCAGCGTTCTGGCCACCGCTTTGGTACCCTCTGGCTTCCTGCCTCCTCTGACGCGGCCCCGCCTAGAACTGCTCCTCGATCTCCACCACGAACACATACAAATGGCTCCTTGGGAGCCTCATCCGCTCGATGTGGGCGGCCCTCTCGTGTGTCAGCCCCCGCGCACGATCGGACTCGTGTATCCGAGCACGCTTGGCGCCTTCTCGTGCCATGTGGTCTGCGGCTGTGGTGCCGTAGGTCATCCACGGTACAGCTCTCCCCTCCAGGACGTCGGCAGGCTCGAGACGAGAGCTGGTGCACAGCACTGTGATCTGATCGGCGCTGCGTCCGCGCAGCTGCTGCGCGATGAGGCCCAACAACACTGAGTGCTCACCCGCTGGATGCGCCTGTTTTCCACCACCACCACCACCACCACCACCACCAAAGTTGGAGGGGGAGGGGGTCCTCCTCCTCCTCCTCCTCCTCCTCCTCCTCTTCCTCCTCCTCCTCCTCCTCCTCCTCCTCCTCCTCCTCCTCCTCGTCGTCCTCCTCCTCCTCCTCCTCCTCGTCCTTCACCTCCTTCCCCCCTCCAACTTATGGTGGTGGAAAACAGGCCCATCACTCATACCTCCTGGACTACCAACCGTTGTGCACCAGATGGTTGTCCGTGATTCGTATCATGAAGTTGCTGGTCAAACGGATGGCGACCCACTGCATATGTAGATGCAGCTCTCCCCAAGGAGCGGACTGCACACACCCAGGAAGCACACCCGACAACAACGCAGCAAGCAACTGAAACCCCAGTTCCAGTTTGCATCAGAGCCGAACCCATCCCTGTTCTCCGGAACCGTGGGTCTCGTGGGTCAGGTCCCCCGCTGGCGTCTCCGAACCAGAGGATCGGACGAGACGAATTCCCAGCACCTAACGAGCCCTCTCCGATCACACCCTGCTCGAACCCCGTCCGGTGCCACTGCTCCTCCTCGGGTGGGTCTGGCAGTGTCGTCCATGCTGCTGGAATGCACCTTCTCAACCAAAGGCCTGGCTCGGCCTCATTCGCCGACTCATGTCGGGAGGACGCCTGCATGTACGACTCATCATTCTTGGCGTGTATGGCATGATCTGCATTCAACTCGCACTCACAGCCACGGTGGAATGCAGTCTCGCTCTTACGCTTGCACCTGGGACAGATGGAGCACACAGCAACTTACTAGCGGCTTCAACTCGTCGGGGCCCGTGGCCACGAGCCTTCCGCCGCTATCGAGGCCAGCACCTCTGATGATTTCCTCCCGCGGGGAAGGCCCACCAGTTGTTTCAGAGCAGCCCCGAAGACTGCATGTCCATTCACTGGTAGAGGTCGAAGCCACAAAAAGTTACCCACCTTTT